TCGGGATAACCACATTAGGGATTTTAATGGCTATGTCTGTAGAAAACATAGGTTGCAGTACAAGGTATATGTCAAAGAAAAGCGAAAATTGGTTTCCTGCCTCTGCCAGGCCTTTCTCAGGAGGACTAGAATTTCAAATATGAAATGTCTCCCAGAAATCACAGGGCTAGCATTAGGAGACCCATTGCTGAGCCCATGTTGTCGTGCCGTGGCATAATAGCGACGGACAGATATGTGAGACCTCAGCTAGTATGCATGCTGTCAGTATGGTCAATTGCACATAATTTGTGATTTTAGGATTCAAGGCCGAAGTTAAGCATCCTCTGAGATATGCTTTATGACAAGATGAATGTCTTCTCAATACATACACGAACGTTCATTTAATTTCCACAGGCGTTGAATACTAATCCATGTACGTTTTGTTGAGTTTCCAAGAGAAATTCAACATGCTAGTGTGTTCAGACTAGCCAGGAAATAATTACGAAGTAGTGGTATCACAACAGCATTCAGAGGGTTCCAACAATATAGTTTTTCGTGCTTCCTAGCGCTTATTCTCTAGGGAACAGTATTCATGTGGTTGCAGTTGAATGCGCTTGAAGGGCAGTATTTGACTGTACAAGGTCACCGAAAATGCAATACTGCTGCCGTCAGAACACACATGAATGAGGTCACAGGGAAGTACAGAAGTGTGTAGGATGAGCTTGTGATCATCGCATAAAACACTGTCATGGAGTTAGAAGATTAATTTGCACTGACGCGTCAAGACAGGCATAAGATATGAACAATCCTTGCTCACATGTAATCCTCGACACATGGAAAATGCAACTGAAACCATCTTAACAATAATCCAATTCGTGAGTTTGAATGGCCGTAAGACCATTATGTCTTTATGACCTCCTTACAAGACATAACCTTGAGTACATAGCTGCAGGTGTATTTTACTAGCAGAGGACCCCTTTCACACCTAGACTCACTCAATCGAAAACATGAGTAGTTCATCAATTAGCGGGCCAGAAAATGTCACGCAAATCCACAGGCACACTAGCCCATCGTGTAATCCCCGTAAGTATCATTAGAGCTGCCGCTGTATTTCGCATCTGAATGCACTGACATTTCCATTATGACTTAGGATTCCAGAGGGGTGAAAGTTAACTTGGTTACCCACCAGAATTCTGTCAAACAGGACCGGTGGTATTAGTTTAGTTTACCTTTTTAATTTCAGTTAGTTTTCTGAGTTTCAGCTTAGTTTAGCATAGAGTAATTATTGAAATATATTTATCTAACTTTGGTGATATCTAACTAAAATTAAACTAATAAACTAAACAAAAAAGTAAAAAGTAAACTACCCTAAAACAAAATTAAAACTAACGAGACGAAAAGTAACCACGGCTTAACGGTAGCGAAATTTCGATTCCCAGGTGGTAAGTCAGAAGGAGAAGGGGCGTTCACCGGAAGAGGTTTATTGTTTATATGACTTTTCAGATATTTATCTCGTCGGTCCATCATCAGAGAGTAAATACTCTGGCTCTAGGCTCTCGCTATATGTCACTCCTTTCGTCCGCGTGCGTAGTCTGCCGATTCAGTTTGAGTCGCTCTGCGTAGGGGCTGGCTGT